TGGGTACCCTAAATATTAGGTGCCGTATTATAATCGGGATCCAAAAAGGGACCATCATGTTGACAACCACCCATAGGAGCTTATCAGGCCCGAACCTTGCGCATTCTGAGGACCCTTATGAGGGGTGTTGAGTAAGCCCTTTTTTCGCCTTTTGAGTCCCAAGTTCTTCATAAAACACGGTATATTCAAAAAAGGAGTCCTAGGTTGCTGGGGATCCTAGTTTTTGGTTTGACATCATCCCAGAACTGCCTGACAAGGGTCTCGGTTGCTTGTGTCCTTCGTGGTCCAGGCCTCATAAGTCAGGACGGAGTTAGAGTCTGGCAACCAGAAGGCATATGGGGCGTTTTCATATGTAAGGGGCCCTAGTGTTGATATTAAAGCCCTGCACTGTGGTGCCACAATTCCTAAGGTGTAAAGTATCTAGGGCCATGCAGGGTTTTTAGCCTTCATGGGTGTAAACAATTCAATATATACATTCTCATCATTGCTGTCGCCAGAAGCGTGGTTGTTTAGCATTGAGGTCTTGGGATGTTTGCTCAGAAGCATAGAAAGCCTGTGACCGGTAATGTTATGCAACCACAACACCTCGGAAGCTCAGAGTTGGAGGCAGAAACCAACAGCACGAAACTTAGAGCCCTAACCCCAAGCCCTTCATCCCACATCCTAAGCATTACTTCATATCATTCCTTGAATTCAATGAGCTGAAGACCGAGCACATCAAGACGACCGCGCGCGGACCCCGAGGCTCTGGTCGCCGCTAGGCCGCGATTTAGCGACGGCTCTGCAGTACATATATGTAGAATACATGTAGAGAGTATATGTAGAATGTATGCAAAATGTAGGGCATATGTGTCTAATTTATGTGTTTAGTTTCTGTGTCTAATTCCTGTGTCCGGCTTTATATGTCTAATATATCTGTGTATGTATATATATATATGCATGTCAACTATATAAATAAATATGTCTGATATATGTGTCTAGTACATATCTAGTATATGTATACTGTAATGTATAATGTATGTACAACATATGCATAACATATGCATACTGTGATATATTTAAATTGCTTATCGTTCATGTGTCATATATGCGCAGCTTTCTACTTCAATGGAGAGGTTCCTTTCGGTTTTTTGTTGAACTGCAAGGGGGGGTAGTTCTCAATCATGGTTCCTTTTGGGATGCCTCTTGTCGTACAGACCCGAGCTTATTTTAGGTGACCAAATTGGGTTGCTTGCTAACGGACTTGAACCCAGCTACCATAATATGGACATACATTCATTTATAGAAAGACAAGAATGCGTATTTGCTTGTGACGTTTCCCGATGCTCAACAACAGCCCGGACAAAAACACCATACTTCCACCGGGGGCATCACGGCATTCCACCCACACTTGTACCGGTCCATCCAAAGCTACCAACCCAGAGCCTCCGGCCATCATGTCCGTCTTCGAGTAGAAAGCATGTCCTGCAGAAATCAACGGCACCCTTCCAGCTCCATATGCACAACTCTCCTAGACCATAAGCACCAAATCGGAGCGATACCAATTGTAGCTGGGAGCGGCAACGAGCGTCAATATTTCCCTGCATTTTTTGTATGCCCGAGCCGGAGCTTTAATGCTAACAGAGCCTGAGCCTTTGAACTTGAGAACTTGTGACTAGCATTCCGCCAGAAACGCGCTGAAATCCAATCCCAAGTCGAACAAGTTTGCAGCCCCGAGCTTGCAAAAACCCATCCGGAGGCAACTGAGCCTTATGGCGTAGAAGGCACGTACCACGACGAAGCGGAGCGCTGCGGAGAAAACATGACATGGGGCATGTGCTTCCGGTGCTAGGGTCTGGGGGTATGAGTCATGAATTTGAAGTTATGAGGTTTGCCAGTATGGGTTGGGTTTCACATGTTTTTGGAACGGCGCATTTGTCTGCTGGCATGTGGCATGATGGTCTCGTTTGGCCTGAAGCCCTCCCCCGTAACCTGCTCTCATTTTTGCTACATTGGCTATGAGATGCTTCGGTTGCTCTCGAAATTCAGAAAAGAATCGGGCTAACCCTCCCCGACCCCAAGGACGACCCCAACAAAGGAACCTGCCGATGACCCCTGGTTGCCCCAACATAGTAATTGGGTCACTTTGTGGGGAGGTTCTTTTTGGATCGGATAGTGGTCCTTTGCGGGCCCAAAGCTACGCTGTCCCCAAACCCTACACTCGTCATAGCTGGACATTTGCGCGTTGAAGAAGAGAATCCGCTTATAGTCCTTGCGCAATCACCACAAGCAAACTAACGATGTACCGCCCACGATGTACGGCCCCTACGACTGAATCATCATCCTGGACGGATGTAGAGATTTCTTGATTTTTGTAGAGCCAGGGGAAGCCCGAGCTTTAGCGATTTCACTGGTCGCAACACAGCACTTCCGGCTCGTTAGTGGTCTGCTGTCCGTCACGGCTCGTTGAAAGGCTCGGCCAAGGTTGCGAAATTGATAACCAGTGAGTTCTTTGGGTCGTATAAACTATAAGCACCCACAATTGCAAGCTTCAGCGTCCATTCTTGAAACCCCTGGAGGGTTTATCCTAAAGAGTCCATGTGCAAAGTTGTATTCCCGAGCCGATTTGGGGCCGAAATTCAGAGCTTGGACCCTGACATTCAGGGTCCCGCCCCTTGACTCAGAGTATACTGGGCTCGGTTGATGTGAACTTCTTTAAGTCCCAGATTTATTCCATACAGGTACGTGTTTGGAGGATTTGGTCGGGATAGGGTTGCTCTGAAAATATTGGTTTCCTCCATGTTTGCCAATTAGAGCTCCGAAGTTGCAGCACTTCGGGGTAGGGTCACGTGAGTTCAAAATGAGCGCCCTCTTGCACCCTGTGAAGCCTGCACAGCCTGACTACCAGATAACCAAAAGGGTCCAGTTTCGCCCACCTCTGCGCACAAGCCCAAAAGCAAAGCCATAAACTCCTGAATTTCGCCGAGAGTTTGTCTATTGATATGGGAGTGTAGATGAAGTGCAAGAATCCGTACATAATCTGCATGAAGGGCTCTGCATAATCCGCTTGTAACCCCAGGGTCCCTGACTCAGAGAAAGCTCCACATTTCAGGAAGTAGGCTTGGAATGGTGCTCTTGCATTTGGAGCCGGATCCTCGACAAGCTGCCTGTTCTCTCTTCAGAGTTAGTGCCGCAGAGCAAGAAAAGGAGACTCCACGGGCCTAAGCGCGAAATCAATGAATAGGTTAGCGTTAAGGGCTTTAGCGGCCAAGAGGCATTTAGACGGTTTTTTGGCACCAGATATTTGGGTACTTGGCCCCTTTGCCGGCCTGGGGTAGAGTTCGTCCAGCGGCTCTAACTTTGGCCCCCATGCACCCTTTTTCGGAAAAGCTTTATAAATAAGCACGCACAAGCCTGCACACTGCGGGGTTGAGGGAGCAGAAGAAAATGATGCATACATGTCCTGGGAGTTTAGCGATACCTTTTTCAGAAGACAGGAGCTTATCCAGTTCCCTTATAAGTGGACAGCTGTTTGTGAAGGGCACCTTGTGGGTTCCACGCTTGTTTTGGAGGAGTGAAGAGAGACTTTGAGGTTGGTCGATTGGGATAAAAGGGGAATTTCCAGCAACAAAGGGCCCCTTGTTTTTGTGCTGCGAATATGTTCAAGATCAAGGGCCCCCTTTATGACTGATTTTCACATATGATCAAACAGCCACAGACCTTTCACAACGGAATCATAGGCAGCCTCAGGACTTTTGGATGACTCCAAACGCTAAAGGCCCCTAAACTCCAGATCTCCCTGCACGTGCATGCATCCCACCCAAAAAGCAGAACGTTTTAAATATAGGTTCGACAGCACAGTCTGGCCCAAAGAGGCAAACTCCCGGCTTGCACGTACTAGATAGGATGGGCGTTTTGAAGATTTGGGTATAGGGATTTCCTTCATCCCTAGACAGCAAATTCCTATACCTAGGCCTTCAAGTCCCCATTTAGCCCCATTAGCTAGATACTTTGCACTTGCGTGCAGCTTTGCCGACGTGATGAAAGGCCTTAAGTGTTTGCAGGTGTGTCGGAGAGAATCCTCATCAGCAATGTTCAAATTCGTGGAGTCTCTGCATCAAGTTGTAAGTATGATGTGTGGGCGTCCCAAGCGGGCTTTCAGAAACCTGGCCTCATGCTGGGCTTGGGATTGAGGCGTGGCTCTCTTCAGCAACAGTCTTTCACCAAGGCCCAAGTGAAGGAAGATCGGGCAAGTGATTAGCTTTTATTGTAGGTGCGGTCTTCGGTAGTTGTATGGAATCACCACATGTTATACTTGAGACTTAAGCGGCCCCAAAAAGGGACCCAGCATTGCAGCCGGGCTTTCGCCCCAAAGCCATGGAGCACAGCCAGAGTGCGCCGGCACTGCCGCGGCTCTCCAACTCACAGGCCTTATACCCGGAAAGTTTTGCAGAGGTAAGACGTTCTGGCTAAAAAAGTAATAGCTCGGGGTGCTGTATGAAGAATTGTACTTTGTGGGGTTCGCAAAATGTGGGGATTACCATTTTGATAAGTAATCATATAACCATTGGAGGTCCGCTCATGAACTCCTATTGGGTTCTTACCTGAGGGAACCCCTCAGCTGAAGCCCTGTGTAAATACTTCTGACTCATAACATTATTTGCTCGTCTTAGTGAGTGTGCACCACCGCCGCCGCCGCCGCCGCCACCGTGGCCGTCGCCGGCACACCATCACCGCCTCAAGCATTCCAACAACGGCTGCCTCTGCTATCAACATGTCCTTCACGAGGGTGGGTCCGAGGGGCGCAAGTACTGGGGAACCTTATAGGGAGCCTTGGCGAGTACCAGGGAGCATTGGGCACCATTGACCAGTGGGCACGGCTTGCTTACGTAGACCACAAAATTGTGGTGAATTCGCCTGGCCCCAGCACAAGTGATAGTTTACAGAGATAAGTACAACTAATTATAACAAGGGGTTCTTACTTCAGGTTAGCGCGTTGTTCTGAATTCCTGGCCAGAAAGGTCCCTGCCTCAGTTCTTGCGGCGCGAGCCCGGGGTGCGCGCGGAGAGGCTCATGGGAATTCAGACATTTGGGGGGCGGGAGCTCAAAACGAGGGCCCCATGGGATCATAGCTTATACACGGAAAGCTTTTAGAAGCTCGTCTCTCAAAATTCGGGTTCAGCGCTTGGATACTTCTCAAGGGTCTGCACCGTGCTCTTTGAGTGTGGTATGGAGTTTGGGAGTTTTCAACAGTAGGTTCCCTCTCTTGGGCTTTCATATAGATTTTGCAGTTCATTGCGCAGATCGAACACGATTCTGGGTCCGGGGTTTTCTACAGGCCTCAAAACATTGCGATCCCTTCATCTACCCTACTAAAGTGAGCGCGGCCCTCGTTGAAAGTACCCGCACAAATTGGTTCCTTCCCCTTTCAGCTTCAGCCCCGCGCAGCAGCCACTTTCAAGATCACACCGTGGGAATCATTTCCGCTCAAGGACCAGTGCATGCGCTGTGTGGCGCTACAGCGCTTGTCTTAACCATTCAGCCCTGAACAGGAAAGTGTCGAAGGATCGGTGAAACTTGAAAGGTTTCTGTTAAGGTCGCTGCTTCTAGGCAAGTGCAAGGTTTGCCTGGAGGATTTGTTAATAGAGCGGACAAGATGGCACCCTTCCGGCTGAGCAAGCACACCTTGCTCTTCTACAATCCTACTTTATATACTGGAGAGAACACGTCTACTGACAGCTTGATGGCCTCACTACAGCTCCGCCCCGTTTTTCCTGGAGAATGCCGTGCGCTGGCAAACCAGCAAAAAGAACTTTAGGAACAATCTACGTGCACCACCCCAGTGAGACTAGAAAGATCAGGGGCCCGCCTGCCCGCAAACTTAAAAGTACATCAGGGTGGGACCTCAACTCCAATGGTGTTAGCGGCACCAGCAGCCCGCAAAATGCCATCCCGTGAAGCCTAAATGACCGATTAAGAGTTTCCACGTATCCCCTACTCGGATTGTTTCATCTTTGGAGGGGTACGCTTTATTGGCAAGTCCCGCAGGCCACGAGGAGGCAGCAGTTCCTCTCAGGGTGTCTGGGCAAGGGAAGAACATTTGGCGTTTTGGTGTCCCTCACTTTGGGAAACCAATAGGCAAGGCAGGCACGATGTCGGATCGGGAGTGAAGTTTTGCTTTCCTCACCGGAGCTTCGCAAGAACATCGTCTTGCGGGGCAGTACAAGACAACGGTCACTGCTCTATAAACTGTCACGGGGCTGACAGGCGCCTCTTGCAAAAGAAGAACACCCAGCATGAGAGACCATCCACACTGGGGCATGTTGGAGTCCCAAATCCTAAGGGAGAGCAAGACTTCTTGCGGTGTGCTTTGCTTTGCCCACTGCAAGGCTCTTTGTGGGAGTTTCTTTGAAAGCCTGATGTGTTTTTGCAACGCCAAATCAAATGGGCTGGATTTCAGTTTCGAGAAAACAAAACTGGAAACCTCAATCTCCAAAATCCTTCTGCAACGCTCACCTCGTCCGCATTCTCTCCGGCCCCCTCGGTTCTACATAGATGTTTGCTCAAGCCAGCCTCTACTTAAAACCCATGGTCCTCATACCACACCAAGACAGAGACGTCTCAAAGAAATCTTGTGGTGAAGGGCCTGAGAGGGGATTCAGGGCTTCGTGAAAGGTATTTCGGATTTCATGCAGGTTTCGGGGTTTGGGGATCGGTGTCTGGGGTTGGTTTGCGGCTGCTTGTCTACTGTGGGTGCAACGCTACACTACACGTAGGGAGGATGACTTGTTCAATAGTACTCTGCAGCTTGCTGGATCGTTTGGGATACGTTTGTTGCTTAGCTGAGCCGTCGACAGATTGATGCTCAGAAAGCCCTGACTCCGAAGTGGTGTTGTGTGTAAGCTGTCCAACGTTCAGTTTTTGGAGCTAGGGTAATCTGACATTCCGATCCGCACAAGCTTCTCGCAGCTGTACCCAAAGCATGTCTTGCAAACGGCTGAAGTTGATTGACACTTCTACCAAGCCCGAGTCCTACATGGCCGTCAGTCAAGGTTCATCAATGAGGATTTGCAGAAGCTCACCCAGTGGCAACTGGGACAAGATGACAAGATGGGCTTTGGATTTGGAGTTGGGGCGGCTGCAGAGGGTAGAGTCTGCTCTCCTTGATAAATCTAAATCTGCCCCGGAAGAGGCAGGAAAGATATGCAACAGTTTGTGGATTTCTCGTCCTGGGAAGGATGATACAGGAGATCGTGATCGAAGAAAAAGTGGCATAGAGCCAGAGGCAGCAAAAGCGCTCGGCCAAAAGTCTTTGTTCCAAACGTCCTCGAACACCAGTGTGGCGTCGGAAAGTCGCTTGTCTCCTTCAGGCTTTGTCATCCCCTTACAATCCCTTCATATCTTGAGGAAACTCCATCATGACTTTCAGCATGCCCCTGTCCTTGAGACAACATCTTACTGCCAACAAGCACATGCGCTATCCCTCGACTGCACGCTGCAACAGAGTGGGGGCTCCAATATGTAAAGGAAAGGTTTGGATGTCGGGACGTTCGTTTCAATGGAGGTTGCCAAAGCCGTCGGGTAGGACTGTGTTTTGAGGCACTCAATATTGGTCTGCATTGGTGGGATACTTGGCGCTATCACAGCTCTCAAGACTCGACACCATGCCCCATTTGCCTTCGGCAAGCGGGCCGGCAAATCCATTTCATGCAGAGCAGGAGTAGCATCACAACAGGTGCCAGCGTGTACACACGAGTACCGGTGTTGTCTGATCTGCTCGTGGGCCAGAGGCCTACGCAGTAAACTGAAGTGTCTGGCCCGCATGCCGTCAACCTGGAACACACCAACACTGAAGCCACACCAAAAGATCCAGGCACGGCATGCGACCGATCCATGAGCAGAAACGCTTCCTCCGACTTCTCGACGGCAATTATGGGATCAAGGGTTAGCGGTTTGGGGGGAGGGGGGGTTGTGTTTAGGGTTCCGTTGTTTCAGCTCAAAAGTAGCAAGGCAAATAAAATGGTAGCTATGCTGCTCATGTAGGGGCGAAGGAGGTTTACATAGATTCTGTGTTGGTATCAGCAAATTAATTGTCCTGGGTTGAGCGATGTGACGTACCTACGCAGAGGGAATCCAAAGAAAGGTTGTAGCTGACCAGGGTAGTGCGCACTCCGCCTGAGTGAGGCCGTGGTCTTGATTCTGCGTGCTTTGTCTGAATGTCCTTCTGCATGTTCACTGATGAGCTCGTCTGGTAATTAGACTCCTGTGGAGGATGCCTTTCTCAGTTTGATCTTGAACTTACGGCCGGTCGCAGCACAGGACCGGGCAACCGCATATTCAAGAAGAGATGGCTCCGTAACATCCACACCCTTCCCGAGTTTCGAGACAACTCCCTGCCAAGGTGGTCTAGATTCGCTGTACAAGGCCAGGGCTGCTCAGGTTCAGGCTTCAACTTTGGCTCTCAGGTTGAGGATTTCTGTCATCTTTGGCAGCTGCACACTGACCTACCTGTAGCTTTACAAAAATCGTTTAGTTCAAGCAAACCTAGCCTTGCAGATGCGAATTCAGCGGTTGAGAATTCCTAGCATTCCTGGATTTTGAAATCTTGCCCTCCCAAGATGCCCGGGTCATTTCTCTCGTGCCCTCATGACTTCCAGACATGATTTGAGTATCAGATCCGAGTGTTTCTTTCACGGGTTTCCTTCAAGAACGTGGGAAAAAGCAGCGCTAGCTTATTTTCAGGCAGCCATTTGGAGCTCATACGGAACGCACCAGGAAAGCTTTTCAACGTTTGGGCTCACAAAATCCTAGAATTGGAATGTTGGATTCGGTTTGTGGACGCGGCTCATCTTTGGATGTTTTGGGCTGCTGGGCTTTGGAGAACGTAGCTTTCTTTGCTCAATCCAGGATGCTTGCTGACGGCCATCTTGCACGAAAAGAGCTTTCAACACTTAGAACAAGACCTTGAAGCACGGATCCTGGCACTTTCTGTTGGTGTTCCTGTATGCTTGTCACATATGCCATGCCCATCAAATCCTCACAGCACGTTCTGTGCGGGTCATGAGCACTTCGTGAGAGGCTTACGATCGTGTTAGCAGCGGCCAGCCCATTCAGGCTGATGCATGATCAGGGTCCTTCGTCGGAGAAAGGGTGTTGGCAGCATCAGGCTTGCCCATCACTATTGAGCGCGATTTGGTAATCACATTGGGGTTTGGGAGGTGGACGCCATTTGGCATTTCGAGATGTAGCAACACAGGCGGATGCTCTACACCGGTTGAGGGGCTTGGAGTTGGGTTTTGGATTTCAAGTTGCAACCAGATGTAGCTTATTACTTTCAAGTCAGCATGTTGATGCTTGTTTCCTGCAATTCTTGCTTGCTTGGTGAGTCCTTCAAATTAGAATCGTAAAACGGAGTTGTTGGAGAGCACACCTAGAGTGTGACAGTGGCAACATGTGGCCTTCAGAGGGTCAGATGCTGTCTTGCCATACGAGGCTCTGTGACTCATGGGCCTCTGAAGTTTAACACAGACAACTCATTGAAAGTTGGATTCCCCTCACATACAACTGATTTTTGAAGGGCCTCTACACCCGGATCCCCAAACAAACAGCTGGTCAGAATCTGCGTGTAAGCCTGACTACCAACCAGCACGAAAACAGATTTTCGAATAACTCAAACACCGGTGTTCTCTTCTAAGTTCGGCTGTGGCAAAGTCACGTCTTACAGAATGCCTTTTGAGCTTCACTTGGCAACAGGGATGCCGGGATGGATGCTGCTCTACCACTCCCAATGAAAGAAGTCTAAAAGCTTTTCCAGAATCAAGCCGTCGAATAAACTCATGTGCTCGGCTACATTTGCATACCTTGAAGGACGCGCAGGTCATGAACCCTAGTCCATACTTTAGCCGTATGGTAGTTGCCCAACAAGAGGGAGACCCCAATACATGCCCCCAAATGCTATAGCCCTTATTATAGGTACGCCCAAAAGGGTACCCTTAATTTTGGGAGACTCCCGATAACAAGGCTCCGCCAAAATGCCTGCCAGGCCACAAAGACAAAAGTGCCAAGCGAGGCCTGGCGGCTCAGGATTTGGAGTTTTGGGATTTCACGAGTTCGGAGGGACTGGGGTTCAGAGATGGAAAGGAGGGAAACTGGTTTTAATGCAAAGGGCAGAGTTAGTCTTGAGGTGAGAAATGGGATTTAAGGACTGAGCTCCAGTGGAGAGGAATTGAGATTTTTGAGCTTGGGTTCAGTGTTTTTTTTTCCGAATTGACGTGCTTGTTGCTAGGGACGCACCTTTTGTAGCATGTTGTACAAACAGCCCCGCGTAGCGTGAGGGCATCCTGACTCCTCGAGATGCGCATTGTCTTTATGGACCTGATGAGTTGGTCAGATCCGGGCACCGCGCTTGTGCTAGATGATCAGCACTTCTTGTTACTCTGGAAATGGTGGACGGAAGCAAACGGGTTGTTTGTCTTCCCTACTTCATAACTTTGCGCGGCCGGCTAGCTCAGACAAGACTAGCTGTCTCTATTACACGTAAGTGTGTCATCCTGTCATCCCCAAAAACTCCTGCACCCTAAACCCTGGGCCGGCGAACGTGCAAACCTGAATCCCGCAACCTCAAACCCCTGAACTCTAAACCGGTTAGCCTTACAGTACATCCCGCCCTAGGCTTTACATCTTTAACCCGCTCAGAACGCCGAGGCAGAGCTAGCAGCCGCTGCAGCAGCAGCCAAAGCAGCAGAGGAGGAGGCCTTCAGAAACATGATATGACTTCTGAAAATCGGGGTCCCATGGAGCTCCAATGGATATGCAGACAAAAGGGCTGTGCAAGTCAAGGAATGAAGAGTTCCTCACACTGTGCAATTGGGGAGCGTTCACGGGCCTCAGCCATCTGCACAACCCTCCCTAGCTCGATGGGGTCGTTTTGCTTGAGTGAAAGTCGCGATCCGATTAGGCAGCACTGATGACCTGCGTTGCATTGAACCTGATCCAATTTGTATTGTAGCAGAGGTTGTATCATGTCATTTTTGATGGATTAAGGTGGGATCTTTCGGTCTCGAGCTTTCCAGTGATTGCTCATCCTTTGCTCCCTTTCAAACTCACAACACCAATCCCTGAGCCCGAAACTCAAAGCCCAAGCTCCTCAGCGCCCTGCATGCTATTGCGACACGCTGGAGCCTGAGGCCATGCAGCGTGCGGCAGAGGCTGATCCCCTCACAGGCGGCACAACCGCTTCCCCCCATGCAACGGGGGAGGTGTACAGGATCTCCAAAATCTCTACGCAGGGCCTTATGCAGGGTTTGGGATCACAGCTGTAGAGGCACGGAAGGCGTTTAGCATTCTCTGGGTCTTTCAGCAAACATGCTTGCCGTTGCTCAGCAGAGTCTTTGACAAGGAGCCTCACACCATCATGCTGCACAGCTTCGTATTACGGCGCATTATGCCGGGTATTTGTTCTCAATGCAAGGCCCACCTCGGAGTCCTCGGGCAGCGCCCAGTGAGCCGTCAGTGGTGCCGAATCAGCCAATTGAGGCCGGGGGTTGCAAAAGGGTCCCCCAACAAAGATTGCACTGTGCTTTGTTGAGAAACTTCGAAGGGAACTTCCCAACATTGTGTTTGGGTTCCTGCAATGAGGAGATCCATTAATTGGAGATTTATGAAGACATTCTTCATCTTGAATAATTGCCAAGTGAAAATTTTGGTAAACCCGAACTCTAAGCCTTGAAGCCTCATTCCAAACATCCAGTTCTCCAGATCCTCAAACAAAGATTTTTCAATTGCTGGATGCATTTTTCCAAACCTCGTTTCACTTAAAATGATAAGGAGGTTGGGGCTATGGAAATCCTGCATACTTTTGCTATCATGGGGCATGATCTGACTTACAAAAAAGGTTTTGACTGTACTTTCTGAATTGTTGGGTGTCTTCCTCCTACAGGCAAGGTATACACAACTGCACTCTAGAAACCAATTGCTAAGTTGTTTTGTATTGAAGGCCAGGGCGGGTGGGTCAGATACCCAAAGTCCCACCGCCAGTATTCTCCATACGACCCAGAATTTACACTGCATGGTTTGACTCAGCCAAGCTAGAGTCAAAGGAAATTGAGCTACAGACAAGCTCACCTCCCTGGGATGTGAGGTTTTTGAGCAAAAGAAGCGCCAAAACTTCAAGCAGCTCACTTGCAATGGGGAAAGGTTTGGGGATGCCCAAATGTTTATGACAGGAAGCATCTCAGATTGGAAGATGAGAATGTCTGGGGGAAGGGTTGAGCTCCTTGGATTCTGGACTGGGTAGAGCTTGAGGCTTGCTCTCCTTTGTCAGAGCAGTTTGTGGATTCGGGTGCCCCTTCAGAACATTTACACTGCCATCCACCCGGCAAGGCTGACAGGCAAAGGTGCCAATCTATGAACATGATTTGGTGATGTTTGGATTGTGTGGGCTTTCAGATTTGCAATTGGGTAGGGTATTCTACAATGACGAGCCGTTCAAGCCTTGACAATGTGCTCTGAGCAGACTGTCCCTTGCAAACCGTCACAGACGTACATACGCGGCGCATGGACCTCCTTCCCAACCCCAAAATTCAGAGATATTTGTCTGCCCAGCAGTCCACCTTGCAACTATGAGGCAGATTTGTTGTTGCTGTTTCTGGAAGATTTTGGTGAAGGGAGAAGCAGCTTTGGTCACGTGAGGAAAAACCGGGACCCTACGGCGGACGACCCGAACACGCTCTCAAACTGGTTGGAAGGTGCCCGAGGGTTCAGAAGGTTTGTCTCTGTTATTTGGATGCAGGGAGCTTTCCTGTGCCGGTGGGGTCTTGAATTGCATGATCTACTGACGTAGGCAAAAGTCCGAAGATGACAAGGATCGGGCCAGTACCTTTGTATGCAATCACTCAGCGCCCACGCGCCCTTACGGACGTAGCGCCTCTTGTTTGGCCCTTGCATGGCTTGTTTTGTTTCAGGCTAGGCCTATGCAAAATAATGGCGTTTGAGTGCGCACTGGCCCTACAGATACCATCTTGAAGGTTTAGGTGACTGCGCCCAAATCTTCGGTTTCCTTGACCGTTCGGAATCAAGCTTTATTGCGCAGACGAACAACAAGAAGCTCAAAAATAGAAGCCGATCCCTAAGCTAGACCGTACGGTTGAGGGGCAGAAGGAATCCTACAGGCACGATGTTGTCCTTAACTCTAGGCAAGATTGCTCCGAAGGCCAGAGCTTGACCTCTCAGACTACAGCAACCACAGCAACCACAAAGCGAACCCGCTTCACAGTTCCTGAGCTGAGTTTTGGTTTCTTTGGGGCTGGATGGCCTTCCCTACTCTGAGAGCACGAAAACTAATGCAAGTACCGAACAATGGGGGAACCCATTTTTCCCCCAATTGTATGGTGCTTGGGTTTACCTGCGTGCAATCACTGACGTGCCTTTGGGTTTGTTGGGCTTGAAGAGCCAGGGACCGGGTAGATATTCAGGTTCTGAATCCACTTGTCTGAGTTGCAAAGCAACGAGGAGTCCAGCAGGGAGGGATTCCAATCGAGCTATAATGAGGTTATTTGGGGGGATACTAAGAGTTTAGACAATGGCTCAATTGCAACCAGATCTGTAGCGCATCTTGCCACTGACCGCGTTGAACTCTGTTTGGGACGTGTTGTGGTTCGCGGTTTGGGATGTAATGGTGGGGCAGCTAGCATTTCATCCAGTAATTTGCCCGCAAGAAGACCCTGCACCGCGCTCAGCTGTTGTTCTTTCTTCACCTATCGGCGCTTGGTCCGCACAAGGTAAAATTTGTCCATGCATTCTGAGAGGCGCGACTGTGAGAGTGATATCATCACGTTGCCAAGAATGTCATTACAACCAGGGTCACGCATGCAAAAGGAAGCCCTGACACTTCCATCCAAGGCAATTGGATGCTGACACCCGGAATGGGTGTCCGTGGGGGGATTTTCGAGTGCTGGAAAACAGCGATGCAAATTTCATTGAGATCCCTCCCTTGATCCTGAAGCCCTGACCATCTGCAATGCGGTGGAAGTTGGAAGCTGCCAAGGACCTGTCCATGACATCCATAGCGACGTCCATTTGCAGTGAGCCTCCAACTACCTTCCAGGAGCGACATGCTTATCTTGCAGGGCACGGGGTCTCAAAATAGTGGATCTGTCGTTGAGGATCCTTAGGGTCTGGGGAGAATTGTTACAGTATCGAAGCTGAAATTTACTAAGTTCCCAGAGCGGCACGCTTCAGAATACGTAGTCCCTATATCATCCTTCACAGGGAACTCTGCCATCAGTTCATTCTCTCGGGCAATACCTTTTGATGCACGTCGGCCAACGCTCTTGGTTTGTTGGATTGAAGGCGAAGGGCATAAGGGACTTTGTCAAGGCATTGCTTGAAGAGAGCATCTCGTCATTCTCGAGCTTTTATGGGGAGCCTTGACCTTGAGACGTGAAGAATTTGCTCTCTGGGCTTGGGCTGTGGCTTCAGGTCAGGTGTTTGGGAAATGAGGTTGTCAGGTGGGGTCTGAAGTACAGGAGTGTAAGTATAAGTGACAAAAAGATCGGCCCATTCTCAGGTGGGTGTGGAGGTGCACGGGGAGGTCGTCCTAAGATATGCAGTAGTTTCCTGTTTCTTTCCCATTGTACCCATAGTATACCCCTGTATTACACCCCTATATAACCCCTATAATATAGTAAAGAGGTGGTGAGCAGCTAAAAGGTCAAAGCTTCCAAGGCTCATTCCAAACGGTCGGGACCGAAGGCTACAGCTTCGAAAGGAAACGAGATAATTGACCCATGAGGGGGTTCTCTGGATAGGTGGCCAATACAGATCCCAATGTATTCAAATTCTTGTCGAAATACAGGGGCTCCCAGGACAAGGAACCCCAAATTGTTGGAAACCCCATGTCATCAGCTGGAGCACTGGAGTTTCCGGGCTCACTCATCTTGCCAAATCATTGCTGCTTTGGAGGATCAAGGCAGTAGTCCGGCCAATCAGACACGCAACTTACTACTTGAAGGTCTTAATTAAGTGATTCCAGTCGTTCAAGACTGAAGCCGAACCCTGAACCTGAACCCCTCAGAGCCCTAGCCCAGCTTTCACACCCCAAACTTGAGGGTTTTGCTGGGTTTAGGATAAGACCTTGCACTTCCTGGAAAGCAAGCTTAGGTACTCAGGAATCCCAACATTCTGGGGTAGGAAACTCCTACTTCAATTTCAGGCTTTGGGCCTTCTAACTCAAGCCTATAAGCTTCCTACACTCTTGGCCCTTTAAGTCAGCACTCGCAGAACAAACTGCAACCCAAAATCCCCTAAACCTGTCACTAAAGTCAAATTGGTGCTGCGAAAGGTGGACTTCCGACGACACAAAAGGGCCTTTGCCTTGAACCAGCTCTTTGGCTCAGGCTTTTTTTGGGGGTTGGGAGAGTTAGGGGGGAGTTTGGGATCTTGATTTTTTGTTTAGATTTCCAATTTGGCAATCAATGAATAATCAGGGAGTGGAACCTCAGCCAGACAGTTGTCCAAGCTATGGCCATATTGCCTGAACGAGGCTTATTCAAACGTTTCAGGGAACATGTGTGGAATCCTGACTCACCTGTGATTTCAGGAGTTGACTTGGTTGAAAGACTGCAGCGAGTACCATCTACCTTAGGTTACATGGGATACCGGGCTTATTTCCAATCCTTTTGGCGACCATTATTTTTTGCTCCTTTCTCATGAAGCTCAGGGTAGAAAGTTTGGGGCATTGAGCTACCAGTATCAACACAGACTAAACATGATGCGTACAATTTGTGAGGGGTGTCTTCTCAGAGGATCTTCATTTCTGGCCGCCCAAGACAGACAGACTGCGCTTCTTCCGAAAGTAGTGGGGGGTAAGGTTAAATCAATACAGTATTAGCACAGAAAAGCCCAAATTAACAGGTAATTTCAGCCTTCGACTTGATGCACAGCCTGCAGTCCTGGGGCCTAAAGCTTCTTTTATGTGCACAGTGCTCTATGTGTCCACAGCTTGATTATACCAGCTGATCAGCTCTACAGACCTCCCCTGCCTCTTTCAGAAAGGGATGTTGAATTCACAGTCGTCCGAGATTCTGAGGTTTTGTGGCTCAGAAGTGAGGATGTGCGGTGTTGGGTTGAAGGTATCTGGCAGTTTTCAATACCAGCCCCAAAGAGCGCAGGCCCAAGTTGTACATTCCTATCTTTGTTTTTGCCTGACTTTTGCACTTTAATGAGCCTAGCCTAGGTTCAAATCTCAATTAGAATTTTGGAAGCTAATAGAAGTCCTCATGCTTTCACGCCTGGCCGACAGGTGTTGGCAGTCCGGCACAATATCCTCAAAGTTACTATATGGTTCAAGGGTTGTTTACGTTTGGCCTTTACTTCCAAGAAACCAGGCACTCTTCGCTCCCTATTTTAATTTCAGCAACAGTTGGCCACACTTGCCGTATCGGTTTGCTCCTACAAAGGTCCGGGAGATCTCACCTTGGATTCTCAGATTCTGTTAACTGTTACGAACTTTAACAGGGGGGACTTGAACCTCTTTCCAGTTGAAGCCCCAAACCAGAGCCAAGCCAACGCCTTGAATAGATGAGGTAGAGTGGGTGAGTGAAAGAGGTACGGCTGAGTATGAGGCTCTGTGGGGATGATGGGATGTGCTCCCTCCACTCTGCCCAATGCACGCAGAGAGCCAAGGAATGATTGGAAGCCAGTCAATCAGCATGAAGCAGGCAAGGCACAGCTTGCTCAGCTTGCTGTAGACCGTGCACGAGTGAACTCCTTGCATGATCCTTGAGGGATATGCCTTGAAAACTGGCTCTTTCAGGAAGATCAACTCACATACCCAAGTGCATGAACACTGTGTCCTGAACCCTGGAATCTCAATTTGCAGGCGCCTTGCGTGATGGATTGCCGAACATGGGCTTACCAGACTGTGAGCGACTTCAGACCACTCACGAGGCAGTAGCCAGGGCTTATAGTTCAAATAATTGTGTGACCATAGTATGTTTATGGGTTTTACAAAGGGTCTTGGGGGGTTGGGGTGGAATTGCGGGAACATGGGGCCATGGGTTCAGCAGGACATGAGGAGATGTGGGAGTTACCAAGCCAGTCTAGTCGTGGTCCCAAAGCAGGACCCTTGCAATTCCTAAATGCTGTCACATGCTCCCCGAACATGGGTTTCCCGCTCGGCATTGCAAACCTTCAGCCGACAGGGCAGGCTTCAGCCCCATCATGGCTCCTAAAAACAATGGAGCGCCTGTTGTCCCGTTGGTTTCCGGAACATGTGCTGTTTCAACCATACGGAATGCTCTAGCTTGGGCAGTCCAGCCATGATGATATCATCTTCCTTGAATCCAGATGACCTGGAGTATGAGACTGACAAGTCGATGAGAGTGACCAGTCGCCTTTCATTCAGCTTCGTCCAAAGCTTAAAACGGAGGCATCTTCGAATCCATCGGTCGGACTCTGGCAGAGCCACAATCACTTCGGCTGGACCATGGCTACTTGGAGGTTCAGGTCCACTGACTTCAGAAGCGTCGAAAAGGAGGGCCCACCTCCCCATGGCCAGGACTCAGCCAAGACTGACTCAATCAGTGTGCCCTCAGAGTGGCAAGGCGATGCTCGGATCTGCCGGCACCGCCGACGGAGCGAGAGAATTTAAGGATGTAGCGACTTACGGAGACCCCCTGCTTAAAAAGGTCATTGAGTCTTAGAGTTGCGAGGGCATTGGGGCTTTAGGCTAGGGAAAGCCGTGAGCAGATTGTGCATGTGTAAGAGCTGCGAGAGTAGCACAGCGCAGGAAGCTTCGCAAGGATTTCTTGTTTTCTTGTCATGAGTCAGAGGTAGTATGAAACAGAGCCTACTTGAACGGACCGCCTGATGTTGAGACGCCATACTACAAGTCAAGAGACTGCTGCCCTACCCCTATCCTGGAAAATCCAGCTTTAGCACCATACCATCACAGTGAATGCTGTATCATTGTTGCAGAGCCGAGGAAGAAGCCTTAGATCAGACTTAAGTGAGTGCAGCAGCATGGGCCTCTGAAAGAGTCTCACTGCCAAACTTAGTAAAGTTTAGCATTTGCTGCATCCACCCTTCGTGACCCGATTCCCAAAAATAGGGATACTTTTGGGTGGTTCGTTCTGGGATCCTTGCATCAGGGTGCAGCTACTTTGAGAGAATAAGTGGGCCCGCCTGGTCCGGTCCTTCAACCATGGTGTCTTCTGGGCTTCACACGGCTGTAAGCAATAATGGCTTCCATGTAGGGTCCATCTGAGCCATTTTGACACGCAGGGCCCATCAAAGCTTGCATGTTCTCGATCCGCAAGTTTAACCACCCTAGACCTACACCCTAATCCTGTAAGCCCAAGGAGCATTTTCTGGAACCTTACAACGAAGCTGAGCACATGTCCAGGACCAGTTTGGTTCCGCCTCTGCGAATCGAAGCCTCCACAAGAAAATGTATGAGAAGGCCCTTGTATTGTGCCATTGTTGAAGGTTTGTTGGGTCGTTGAAATCCACATCAGGAATCAGAAGGAATATGGAAAATTACAATTCCTAATCATATCCCAATAAGCAACTAGTGTAAGCTTGCCAGCTGAAAGTTCAGAGCTTGGGGTCTGCGATGTCGGATTGAGGGCTTGAGGTTGAAGGTCTTCCTGTTACTTCCCAAAAAAGGACGCTGGGATTGTTGCAGATTACCTGTGAGGCGGTCTTCTTGAGGATGCAACTCCAGGTTGGGGCTGAGGGTTCAGAAGTTCTCAGATCAAAATATCATTCCTGTCATCCGTCCTCTCGGCATCCCACCGCATGGATGATATGATTTAAATTTGTTCTGCAGACCCCTGGTGGCAAAAGACTTTGACGACCTTTACTTTCAACCGCGCTGGCCTAATGACAGCTTTTGCACGATGCTTTGTTAAGGATCGGGTTTCCTACGCCACTGTTAGTTGAGTATGGGTACGGTTGTTCGTAGCCTGTTTTAGGTATGCGGTATCCAGATTGACCGCAAGGACTAGTAGACTCTGAAAAGGGTCAGGCTTGGCAAGCGAGGGAAGCCTATCAACTGTCCAGCATCCAGGCCTTCGTCTATCTTAGAAGAGTAGCAATATAGGGTAACGCTATCACTGTCAAAACTTGCCCTTGCCATTGATTGTTGTTGCCGGTGCTGCTCTTGCTATGAATATTGTTGCGCCCTGGCTACAGTATACAGGACGGCCGGGTAGCCCAACAAGTCCGATCTCGACACGATCCCCAGACACGACCTGTCGAACAGGAAAGCAACATCTACACAAGCCTTGAGATCTTGAAGTCTGGTAAGGCCTCTATCAGTATCCCATGTCCTGCTCTGTGACGGAAGTTTTGCTTGATACATGGCTCTTCGTTTTTCCAAGTGCGACAGCATGCTTTCCATGTTGTGCTTATAACATATGAGCGCCCAGTCCCACAACTCCTCCTCACCTGTTTCCCTGGAACCCGCACCAATGAGATGCTGAATGCACGTTTGATGTGAGCAAGCCGTCTGACACATTTCATCAAGACCATATTGTGTTCTCCTGCACATCCATATCAATGTGCTGCTAGCTAACGCAATGTTTTGCTAAGTGAGCTCTCAGCTGTGGCTGGGGTTCTCATTTTCTCCTGCCTCTAGTTACACTACTTCGCACGAGCACTGAAATCTACGGGGCGGAAATGGACTCCACAAAGGCAGGACTACATGGGTGACAGGCCTCTGCATGTAGGGGCGACCGGCCTATGTAGTGCAGAATTTCGAGGTAAAGCTTCAAGCAGCAACGACAGAAACTGGTTGAGACGAATCGGTTAAGCATCGCTTCACAGAAAAACATTATCCCTTCCGGTAAACCCATGTTTCCATCGTACCGCAAGTCAGCATACTGCAATATGTACTTGGGCTATGCAAAGGTGGTGAATGTGTTGGTCGCCCAAGCTGCCTAACGCAGCCAGTGATAAACCCAAGAACATTCATGGTGCACAGCAAGACCTGGACAGTTCTCCCTAGCTGCGAACATGTAAGCCCCACAAAACTACAACATGTAAGCCCCAGAATGGAAAGTGTACATTCCCCTCGCGCTAAGGTTTTTTCATATGAAGCCGGAAGGATTTCAGCAGCTGCGTCTTTTTAAGTGGAGATTGTGAATTCATTGATCAGGTCTTGAACAGCGACCAGCACGAGTTCATCTCAAGGCTGTTTTGCTGCTTGAGTCACTAAACTGGGGCATTGGGATGTTGAGTCTGGGGGTAGCGCATCACAAGGGGTGCAGCATACAGGGATTTCATGATGATATTGATTGGTTGAAAAAGTCAATATTCCGATTGATCCATTCGAAAGTCAAGGACGGATTCGGAGTTTGGGGGCCGGAAGGCGGATTTCCAAACGGAGACATGGGGGGGATGGGGGGGGGATCATATTATCATTATTGTCAGTATTCCTGTTATAACTATTACCATTATTACTATGACAAACCCTTCTGTACTACTATGACTGTTACTAATGTATTACGCTTACTACTGCAATGTTGTGGGTTGTTTGGTCGAGCGATTTGCTCAAGAGCGACCGCTCGCCAAAGCATGAGGCGCGGTTGATCATTTCAGGGAGGTTTCAGATGCATGCGTGGGCAAGTTCGGCTTTCTATTTGACGGGAAGACCCAATCAGTTTCATAAAGAAACCATTTTGTGTCGTTTGGTCACTTCAATAAGAAGCTGGGATAGACAATTGCCCCCCATTCGCTGACCTTCAAAGCATGCAATTAAACTCCCGAGGTGCTACTTGCCACGCAGCGATTGGGAAAGGGCTATAATGAAAATGAACCCTCTGAAATCGCTTGATAGGCTTGCCAAGTGCGTTAAAGCTTGACCTTCCAACTGAAGTGGAGATGGGAACCGCGGATCATTTACAGGTATGCTGACACTGCCAGGGTAATGGTACAAGGAGCACCTTTCTAGTATCAGCACAGCCGCTGCCACTGGCACCAGTATACTTATGGGTGTTCGCGGAGAAGTCTCATAATGGTGAGTGCGATTCATGGCAACGCATGTCTGACCATGTTTGCAGAAAAGTCCCTTACATTCTTATGGCCCAGAGCTTCACGGAGTGCTCCTCACGACTCCTCGCCTTTTTTGTGCCTGGCTCTTCGTAGCAACACCCCGCAAACTCCAAAACTTCACAACTCCAAAACTTTGCCCCCAAACTCGTACATCAGTCCTGCAAAAATGGCCGCAACGCAAATACATGTTTCGTTCTCCTCCCTGTAGAGCCCTTGAACCCTGCATCGTGATCGCAACAACTACGCTTGACACCTAGACTCCCACGCAGAAGAAGCAGGTTCTTGGAGACAGCGCCTCCAGCGCAGCGAGAGCAGTTTTCTGGGATGGTGCGCCAAGCGAGAGTTGAAAAGCTTGAATTCCAAGTGTAGGGTTTAGGGAGTAGGGTTTCTTAGGCAGTTCCAGGAGCTTTGGGGCCTGAGATTGTGGAGGTTTGGCGGCAGGATACCTACTTGCTGAGTGCTCGAGCTTATAGGACCTCAGAGTGCTGCCTGCGAATGTGCTTGCTTCCTGTCAACAGTATTAACCTAGCTCCATCGAAACTTTCATTAGGTTCCAGAACAGTACATGTGGGAAGACGGGTAGGTCTTCTACAGCATCGCGTTGCAATAGCTCTGCACAATCACACTGCAAAGCCTTGCATGAAGCCTATGATTTCCAAGCAACAACCCCATCCCATTCAGCCTGAACCTTTGAGCCCCAAAGCCAATCACTCTGATCGTGGAGCTGGCTGGTTGTTCCGAGCTCTGAGTCAATCTCTGTACACCCAGAGCAGCGAATTCTGCACTCATTGAATTTCCAGGTGTAGTCCTTTTATTATGGGTAGGGGCATAACTCAGAAAGTAGAAAGGGTTCCTGAAGAGTTCACATCTCTGTAGTTCAAACATTCAGCCTCAAAACTTGTTCTGAATATTTGGGTGCCGGTGATTGGGGCTTCGGCTTAAGCATCTATCCCATTATGATCATGTGGTCTTTCCGACCCCGTGACTCCATGACTACTAAAGCCTTTGCTAATGTCGCTAGAGCCGCTAGGGCCCACTAGGCTCCATTCTGACAGGTTCGGTCGCTCGAATACCTTCGACGCGCGAAGACTAGGCTCCAGGGTTGAGGGGGCAGGGGGCGAGGGCTCATGGGCGTGGCTTTAGACCGCAGGATTTCAGCTTTAAGGATGCATCTAGATGAGATGAAGATTCAACAAGTCCGGTCTAGGGCTTAGGGATGAGGATGGAAGATTGTCAGTGACTGAACCTGGGAGCTCTTAGGTCGTGCGAGTTGCTGAGGGACTTGTGGAGATTCAGGTATTCCTGAAATGACGGGTCCAGCTTCGGCATCGTGATGTTTTTCACCTAGCTTCTAGTTTGAGAGTTTGCGTCTGGACATCAAAGTGTGTTGTTTAGGTGACAGATTCTCGAATTTTGTAGGATGCGGGGGGACATGGAAGAGGCCTCTACGGTAATGCTGGCCTCTGCATTGTCTGGAGTATGGGGACTTCTTGATGAATTGCATGATGATCGCAGCTATGGATCGTATGCCTCTGTGTCAAGGTCCAGGCCTTATGGTTGCTTGAGAATAGTGGGAGCGTGCAAAACATGGGCGAGGACGAGAACAAACATGTTGGTTCTTGCATCCTTTTGATTGGATTTCCAAACTTTAGCAGGCACGTCCCCAGCCCAGATGCTAAAAGTTCAGGTGATTTGTTGCTGCCTCTGTTGGCGCGCCCATTTGCAAGCCCCATCCCACCCCCACTGCAGCAAACTTGTGCAGTGTCACATGACATTTCTGGTGTTTGGGACTTCTCGTATTCCTTGCTACAGCATGGTTTTCGTCATTCGCTATAGGGTTTACGGCTCCTGGTGACATATCAGCAAAGCATATCATCTACGTTTCAGCAAAGGATGTGGGACAGAGTATTTGCTTCATCTTGCCATGCTCCACTGGATTGAAAATCACTGTTGTTTTTGAAGCCAAGAACCAAGTAAATCCCAGCACGTGAGAAGCCAAGAAGGTAGGCTTCACGGCCCCCTCCCTCCTTCATCTCCTTCCCCTACCCGGCAATGCAATATCCAGCACTTGTGATCTGGCACCATTTTCAGAATCATGCAGTTACTTCCTCGACCTCCTACTACTACCACGACTAACTACCACTGCTGTCATGAGAAGTACTGTGATGGCTCGTATTCTTGTTGTTGTTGTTTGGTTTGTTCTATGTTTTGCCATATTCGTGTGATTGTTGCAACTATTGTTTTTAGTTGCACGGCGATCGTTGTTTTAAATATGTTTAGCAAATAGTATGGATTCAATTGCTATTGCGATTGCCGTAGCAATAGTATTACATCACAATTCTATTGCCATGAACATGGCTGCTACTAGTATATTACGAGTATTATTCCTATCATTATTACGGATAAGGATGCTATTATCTGTGTAACTATCACGTGCTTTTTCTGTTTCTATTTCTGTTCCTATGAACGATGCTATTTCTTTTCATATGAGGCATAGTCTAAACTCCTATAGGGGGTTCATGGGGGATCAAAAAGAGGAGTATTACAGGGTTTATTGAGAGGATACTAGGAGTTTAGGGGGCGGGCGGGCATCCTCACTTTGCGGCTGGAAATGTTGCTATCACGCGGAGCGCGCCTCCATGTTCACCACATGTCTTAGATGTTGGCGAACAATTCGGGCTCTCGGGTGGAACATGCTCACATGCTCGGTTGAAATCGCATCAGTTGCACGAGATGGTGCTCTCTCACGGAACTTCCTGACATTTCGGCCCGAAACTACGCAGTCTTGTGAAGCATCCTCAAATTGTGCAGAATCCAGCTCTCGCGTAGAGCATCCTAACTTTTTTGGATGTGGAGAATTCCTCTGGCCTCCTGGCAAAGCACCATCAAAGCAACAAAGCTGTTCTAATTAGCTTTTCTTCCACGTTCGTTTGAAAGTTAAAGCAGCACTCGAACCGTCGCGCCGTCCACACCTGGAAGCCCCTAAATCTGTTATTCACAGCCAAAGCTCGACATGGTGACCCTCGACAATCCATGTAAAATGAACAAATACCTTTGGCATCAATTACCCATTTTGAGAAACCACAAAAGATTCCTAGTCAGCCAAGGGAGGACACGAGCACTACAAACCTTGCTTACGACTTGCAGGATCTTGGTGCAGGGTCTTGGTCTTGCTTGTGGGGTCAGAAGGTCTAGTGCTTGTGGCACAGCTGTCCTTTTCAGTCTCCCGTGTCCTCCCAGTAGAGCGCAAGGTTTCAGACCAGATGCTGGATCAGGGAGCTATTCAAATTTCATATCCTCATCCGTCTACAAAGCTAGATGTTTCTCCTGGATCTTTGGGTTGACCAACAAGTTCAAACTCCCCGAGACTTGGTGCTCTTTTCTGGGATTCTGTTCTCCTAAGCTTAGATAACCCCTATATAACCCTATACAACCCCAATATAGTCCCTATCTAACCCTATCTAACCCCAATATAATCCCTAGATAACCCCAATTTTCAAAGAGTACGAAAGGCAAGTATTTGATTTGCAGAGGAGTAGAGATGAAGGTCAGGGTTTGGGGATATAGGAGGTTATACCCATTGGGGTAATATTGGGGTTAAATTGGGATAATGGAAAATAAAATGGAAACTGCTATAATGGGGTAGATATTAGGGGGGGTGAAAGTTCAGAACCCTAGGAATAATGAAAAAGAAAATGGAAACTGTAGGAATTACAGGGACTATATACGGGTTATATAGGGATAATGGAAAAGAAAATGAAAACTAATATTTAGGGTTTAAGGTTTTTAGGGGTTTGGGGTTTAGAGGCTTAAGGTTGGGGTTTCGGATGTAGCAGTGATGCTTTGGGATGAAAGTTCCGTGGAGAATGGGCTTGCTTCCAACGAAAGAAGTTCCTGTTTTGAGGTCCCTTTCCTCAGATCGCTGTGAGAGATCTCCTTTGATTTGCATGGCTTGTGGTTTCGGACCGCTGCCTCACTTGACCATTTGTGTCCTGCTTCCTGGATATGGATTGTAGCAATGGTTTGATGCAGAACTGTATTCCTAGGATCAGACAGAGTGTTGGAGCTTGGAAAGAACAACTACCAGATTAGACTTGTGCACGTGCGTGGGTACCACATTCCCTCCCCCTTTGTCAAGTGTACAACTCCTTACGAGAGCACAGTGGCACAACGCTAGCGCACCACTTCTTGTTCTTCAGGGGCCCCCTAAGCTTGACATTGTGTGCTGGAATTGTTTGTTCCCGTGCTGAGGAGTCTGCTGGTTCTGACCTTCCAACATCAGCGCAAACCCGTCGTAGCTAAAGAGTGTTCTAGTAAATGTACAGTTGTGCTTGAAGCTCATGAAACTCAAGCCAAGCTGAGTGGAGTATCTCCAAACTCTGACATGAACCCGGTGTAAGGTTTGGGGTTTAACAATTTTCGACCTACACCTGGATTGCGCCAAAGATCTAGTCTGAATGTTGAACGGTTCTTGTACAAGGTCACGATGTTGCTGGAAGTTACAAATTTTGATTTCTCGGGCCCATGGATGCAAGGAGAATGCTCGGCTGTGGCGCCCACCGAAGCAAAGGTGCGGCGTGGTGTTCAACCCCAGGACAAAACCCGACTTGAGGGTCTAGTTGGGAGTTAGCTTAAAGATATAGGGTTCAAGGTGTGTTTCGGGTTCGGGTGCCATAGTATTTGCCCATCACATGCTTCAAGCAACGTGTTGTGCATCAATAGGTTATCATTCTAGCTATGGCTTGGAGTGGGGATGAGCAGGTTCTGTGTGGTTCTTCAAGAGGCTGGTAGTTCTGCGGGCAATGAAAACCAGATCCCAGCTGCTCCACCTACGTGGCTGTGCTGTGAGACATAGGTGGCCGAATCACGCATAAGCGACAGTAGAAAGATGTGGAGATCAGGTCGACTCCCCACTTTCACATGTGCGTGATGGCTTTCATACTCGCACCATATGTGGAACGCTCAGACTTTCAGATCCAGTACTACAATTTATGCCCGTGTATACCTATCGCAACCAAAAGCCTGCAAGTGCAATTCTGAGATCCTTTGAACGTTGTACTCTAAACCCTGCACTCACAACCCTGAAGCACTTATCCCATCTCCCGAGTTCTAAGGGGCATCAGGCAGTTTCGGCTGCCGATGATCATGAGTACTGCCCAGGTTTTGGTCACATGTTTGATTACTATCGTATTGAAGCTATCATGCTGCTTTCTTGTCATTGTGGTTCTTACGGTCATTCTTGCAATGTAAACCGTGAATGAAGGAAATCTCGTACCATTGAAGCTCGCCCAAACAGATATAGGGCATATGAGATGTTGCATGATTTCCTCCCTCAACAGTATGGCTAGCACAAGAACAGTGATTATCAGCCAGGGCAGTGTTTGAGCCCTGGGAGATCAATGTCTCGCGCATTCCGCTTGGCTCCATGCAGCAGGGGAACGGCAAGGTGGGCACATGAAGAGTTTTGGGGGAGGAAACTTTGAAGGGAGGAACTTCTGGGCTTTGGGATGATTGTCTGCAGATACTTCTTAGCGGAAGCGGAGCCGCTAGCAGATTACATCCCCCCTGAACGCCAGAAGGCCACTAGTCATCTCGCGATGCTTCCAAACATATAGTTAGCAGGATGCAGCAGCAGTCTTCGTCAGAACCTAGGAAAATTCAGCATGCTTTGTTAAGGCGATCCCTTCTTTAGCCTTCAATACTGTTGAACCCCGCCCCGCTTCTCGGCGGATGGCTTTATTTATACTTGTACAGGCATATCCCAAAACAGGGGCAGCCCACTATGTAGCCCAAAAGGATTGGATCTCAGGGCGCAAAACTCGTCGAAAGTATTGAAGGCACCTAGGCTGAACTGCCTCGTATTTGCTTATTAGGTAGGCAAGAAAACTGCGCAACTTACCTCAACCTGTGCCCTTCGAACCGAGAAGATTGTTACAGGATAACATGGGGGAAGGCCATGTTTGTGAATCCCTCCATTTTGCTTCAGGGCTGTGAAGCATTTTGACGTTGTCCTGATTACTTGCGCCCGCCGTAGGCCAGACCAACTTGTAAGTAGCATTTGGCGTTACGGAGACAACTCGAACGGAGACTAATGTAGCATGGTTTCAGGCTAAATTTACGGTGCCCGAAGAGTTCAAGGAACATCAGACTACGAGACTTTCCTGGCGGATTTTGCAAATGGCAAAACAGAAGACTTGGAGGATTGGGCAGTCTATGATGTCCCTTCTCAAGAGCGCAATGAGTAAGCTTTCTTCAAAGGCTTCTTGAGAAGTGTGTGCATTGGCATCTTCATTAGGATACTTGCTTACCTCATACATAGGCCTCCTTTCCGGATACCATCAATCATCAACCTAAATCCTCTCATGCATATGGTATTGGTGCCTGGTGACTCCAGGGTAAGCTTCCGATGCTGTTCATGGTCTGATACAGGCACTGTAAAACCTGGTATATGCCAAACAGTGTCCTTATAGAACACTTTGTATAGGCATGTATTACGCAAACCAAAAGGTTCAAGCAGAAAGCAGATCGCAGCACCCCCAATCAAGATGAAACAGCCCTCCTTCAAATGCCTCATGCTTGTTATACCTTCCGTCAGCACGCTTGCGAGCCAAGAAGCGTCTCCCATGACACGCACGGAATGGGGATTCTCGGCACACTATGTGCCCTTCTTGATTTTTTGCTGTATGGAGGCTAGTCACGCAATCTTATTGAGCCAAGACAAAATTCAAAACAAGTCCGTACTTTGGATGTCAGGCCCCCGACCATCAGCAAGCATCCTCATGATACAAAGCAAAGCCACATGCAGTTGCCCTTAAGGGGCTGGGAGTCCAAGGTTGAATCTGGGATTGGAACTGGATGGGAAGCATCTGCCGTACGCAAACTTCCGAGACATTCACGGATCCTTGTGCTTCCATGTGGATAGTCTCAATGCCGCAGTCCCTTTCCAAAGATAACAAGACGACACAAGGTGTTTTTTCCATGTTCTCCTCGTTGAGGAACTGTTGGTGTCCGTGATGCAGGAAGATTGGCTGAACATGGATTTCTAGGCTGCATGCATGCACATGCTGCCAAGAATAATTCTTGCACTACCGCACCTCAATGCAGCAGCGCTTCAAAATGTGAACCGCTCTTGCTGACGTTGCTTGATAATTTGCAGCTGTGAGCGATAAGCAATTTTCTGAACTCGCGCATGCCTTTAGAACAGCTTTTTGACGCATCTTCGCAGATAATGCTAGGCTTGCCAAGAAACCTCAAGCAATGTTCTTGCGGCGGACTGAGGATGGTTCCCCTTGAGCACGTTGAACGATGTGATGCACATTATTCACCATGTCAGATCGGGCCCCACTCTCCTGCCAGCCAAACGTGGCTGAGAGCCACGAGTATTGGCGCCACTTGATAGGATGCTGTGATTGAACCAGTAGATGTCTCTTCTTAGGGAGCCCAGTACATTGCATGACCACCCAAGACAACACGAGCCCAGAGTAACAAGCACTTGGATGGGGTCCACCGTTTTGGAACATACCTAGACTTACGATGTCCCTTTTGGCGGGCAGCTCGGCCAGCAGTCGTTATGCACGGCTGTTGTGATGTTCCTCTGCGCACAAACATGTTGATTGTGCGTCATATCGCAATGAGAGATCTTGTTGTATGCGGGAGCTTAGGCGCCCTGAACCCTGACGCATTACATCTCAAAGGTAATGTTAACTACCAGTCGTATATGATCCTTTTATGAAGGGTCCATAGTCAGTGAAGAGTGTTTCAGGGATGTTATTGCTTCCTACGATTTTCATTCAGCCCCTTGTGCGATATGTAGGAAACCATTGTCAAAGACGCTACATCGGTTTCCATATTGGTCTTGTAGAGCAATCGAAAATTTCATACAACCCATCAGCCCTTATCAAGCCATAGCAAAATTGCAGTTCACAGCCTTGGCCGTGTTGCTGTGTCATGTAATCATAAAAGAGCCTTTCATACTGGGTTTGTCGCGTTCTCTCCGGCTTCACCGCTTACAAATCCAATGTACAATTTAAGAAGAGAAGCGTTCCTGAGTGCTTCAATGATGCTGTAAAGCCTGCCACCTTCCCTTGCAGCCGCGGGTGGCCCCACCGGAGCCGGAGTTGCCGCCAGTGCCGCCAAGCCCTTCGGTGCCCCAGCCTCAGGGTGCAGCTTAAGAAGGGTCGGCCAGGCTTAGGTTTTAGGCGTCGTGGGTTTAAGCTCCATGTTGGGGTAGTCGCTCGCCATCGCGTAGAAGCGAGATCCGCTAAGTTCGGATGACGTTTCACATCTCGACTACGTTATCTACGTGAATTGACATATGTGGTTTGGAACACTGGAACACACGGGAACTTCACTCTCCCGGCGAGGGACCAAAGGTTGCAAGCAAATTAGCCAGCAAGGTGATTCAGGATGAGGAATTTGTGTGCAAGGTTTCGCGGCAAGGGCTCTGGAGCTTGAAGTTAGGAGTGGCAGCTTGTGTAACAAAGCCAAACATGCCTTCTGTATTCGGTGTGCTGCGCCGGAACAATCGAAGGTATTCGGGATCCAAGACATGGATGTCTTTAACAAGCTTCCATGGTTGAACAAACAAAGAAAGTGGTCCATGTGCGATGATGATGATGGGTGGTTTCTTATGGGCTCTACCGTCCTTGAATTTGTTAATTGTTACAAAGCGGAGCTTAGCTCCATATCAGCCCGGAAATGACGGAAGTGCCAGCAGTAGAAGAAGCAGCCGTAGCAAAAATTGAGAGCTTGTGAGCAAGTAGGGAAAGAGTATTTTTTGTAGTGTTCACTGCAGGATTGCGATAATTCGGCGATAATCGTAGTCATCATCGACCTGCCACGAACTGTAGAGACAGGTCGGGCCTTGGCAGCCTGCCGTTGACTCGCCTACAGACGCCGCAGGCCGGACATTCCATTGGAATGAGATTTGCACTACCTCATAACAGGCTGGTCATGATTTCTGGCCACAGTCCTCGTTGGTAAACAGTCCAAGATACCCGCCAGGGATATTGTTGGAAAAAGGAGGTTAGTCTTGAATGGCATCACTATGTCCTTTAGCCTCTCGTGATTATCGCTGCTTTTGCGCCTTGGGCCGCACTGCTTGCTGGTAGTTTACTATATAGACAAGATGTTCAGTTGCAAGTTATTTGAAGACATCTGGATGTAGTCGACGACCAGTCCTGGCACTATACGTTTTCCTGGTGGAAGTGAAAATGAAGCAGAGAGCTTGGCAAGCGCCCGCAAAATGGCTTGGGGTGCGCATGCTGTAAAAGAAAGCCTCGCAAAGGTCCCACTCGTCAGTACTAGTTTGCAGAGGAGGTGGTCGACAGGGGTGCTGCATTGTTTCCACACGGAGAGCGCTGGGTCCAGCTGAGAGCCCTAAACCTGAAGGTGTTCTGAGCTTTGGTAGGGCACTGAATGGATTTGAAACAAATGTCCCACGTGGTGCAAAGATTTCTCCCACGAACAGCAGTCATGAATGCTGTCCCAACCCCGATAAGTGGATAGCTGGAACCACCACCCTGGTCTCTTCACACATGGAATGCTTCTTAAGATGACCCGTATGTAATGCAGTCTACGAATCATGCCAACAGGTCCTCTCGGAATGCGGCTCCGCCTGATTTGGCAGAGGCTGAAGAACTGGAGGAAAACGGGGTGACAAGGGCACAGGGCTTAGGATGGGGCTGTTATTTGCACTAATATCCAGCAGCTCTTGCATCCCAGAAGTTTAGCAGCATATGCTTAAAGGTTTTGTGAAAGGCTCGTCATGCGCTTCTCATCGTCTGACTATACATGGGGAAAATATGTCTGGCTTGCGCATTAGCGCAGTCAGGTCTCAGGACTTCGAGTGCAGTGTATACAGAATGGGTCAGCCACCTTCAACTTCCAGCCTCTGGTTGAGATAGACCATCAATTCAAAGGCCCTCTTCCAAGGACATTTTCGACCCTGAACTTGAACTTCAATGAACTAGATAGCAGCTGGTTACAGGAAGAGCCTTAACCTGAAATCCTTACCAAAGGGCCGAGGCTTTGAACCCTATTGGGAGAACCTGCAAAGCAACTTATCGTCCCTTGCAGCCCTGGAATGAAAAACAACAACCCGAGCCGCATTGCCCTGGCCAAACCACATACAACCCTGAAAAGCGATCTTTTGTGGTGAGCACGCTCCTCTCTTGCAGGCATGTCCAGCAGATCCCTGAGTGGCAGAAGTATCGCTTCTCTGTGCAGTTGAGCTCGGTAGGTGCTATCATGAGACGGCGTAGAGGCATTGGTAGTGGTCATAGCAGAAACATGAGCAACACAGAAAACATGTAGGAGGAGGAGGAGGAGGTGCAACCAGAATAGTGCGTGCTAGTAGTAAAAAATATACTGAACGCATGCTTGTATCATCACAGGCATCAGTTGCAAGACTGGCATGACGACTGGTGATGTCAATGGTATACGGATCGCCAAAAAGTTCCACACACACACACACACACATCGTTTTCGCCTCATGCATACTTGTACGCATCTAGGATCGGCATTTTGGTAGCTTCTAAACGAACCGGCGTGTGGTGTGAATATCTGCTCATCTCAGGCGCTTCTGGGTTGATGGTTCTTGAACATTTCATGGACAGTTTTCTCCAAGCTAAAACAGCTAGCCGTGATTGTGTCCTCAAATCGGAGTCTTTTCACACCCTCCCACATGCTATAGTGTCTTTCTCTGCAACACACAAGACGGACCTGATTTTTCGACACGATGTTTATTCCAGAGTTGGGCCAAGTGGCGTTCGAGGCTTTCAGCAGCAAAGTATGGAGTAAACCTGTGCGATGAGCCGAAAAAGTGTTTGGAGGTATGGTATGTCCTCTTTACTTTTGAATCATATATGAGCTGCGCCTTCGTGAAACTGATGACCTGGTATGGGATGCCTTCTCGGGGAGCCAGCGCAGCGATGGTCAAAGGATAGCTCAAAGTTATCAGATGGAGTAGCTGAATAGCGCCTGAAGACCCTTAAGGGCAAGCCCACGGGGATCCTTGAAGTTTCAGCTGTGCTGCACAGCACCGTCCCCAAAATATCTGCTAAGCCCATTTCATCAAAGTGTTCAAACATCCCGGCTACCCTGCGGCCTACTGGAGCTTTAACAGTCTCCTACGTAGCAGACCCAAGAAATGATGCCCCGCAGTGTACCTCACTGCCATTCATTTTGCTCCGCAAGGGGCCAGGGTATAGAAACATTCTTATTCAGGACAAAGGGTGTCAGTCAGCGACCACTTCATCTAAGCGATCAATGACCTATCTGCTGCCAGGCTCACCATGTAGACTGGGTTGCTGTTAAGGAGCTTGAGATAAGTTACCAAACTTTGGAAACCCTACGATTTATTCCATATATCCCTTTTGTGGTAACTTAGTCCAAGTTCCTTGGATGTGCATGAAATGGGTTTGGGCCCATAGGGCCTGGCCCATGACTCGGATCCTCGTTGAAGATAGAACAGTGGGGTATGTACACTATTCTTGCGTAGATGGCCTCCTGCGAATCCTTTCAGAACAGTTCTACTGGATCCTGACGATGACCAGGTTGGGCTTGAGGGATGTTTTGAGCATTGGGTCTGGACGGCTGACAAGTTGTAAAGGGAATATTATCCCCGTGATGTTCAGATTCCTCGAGACTTGTGCACTTGATTGCTGTGCACCGACCATACACACCAAACCCTAAGCCGTACGCTGTGAAAAGGTTGCTTCCCCTTCGGCAGCTTTGTATCTTGATTTGTTTCGTGATGGTTGAGTTAGACTAGTTTAAATTGGTTCCTGGCAGCACTGAAGATGACGATCCAGTTGAATAAGGCTTCAAGCTAGGAAACGTCCATTGAGCAGGGATTCGTGCGAGCGACATACTTACCCTTTTGGATTTTAATGGGACCTACGGCGGCGATCTAGGAGATCTGTTGGGAGCATTAAGTACAGGCAATTTTCCAGTGTGTGTATATGGGATCTAGGATGCGGCTCGGGCAGTGTTCTGAAGCATTTCATGGTTTAGGCAGACAGTCATCTACCTGGCTTCGACAGCAAAAAAACCCGCAAGGGAGGTTGACCAACTGCAAGCGTACAACCAGGTTGGTACAGTACCTGGTGATTTTTGGTACAGTAGCTGGTGATGTTGAAGCATGCTGTGAGGATTTCTAGCTTTGACCGTGTGGCTTACCGCTTTTGCGGGATTTGGGTGTCCAGTGGGCATTCCGAGCAAGCAGAACAGGATCCGGACGTCCCGATTGTCGAATGTGTTGAAGGTGTTTTATCAGGGACTTCAGCGAATGTCCCTTGAAACGTTGTTACGTATCACTGATCACGCAGCGTTGACCACAACTCACAAGCATGTAGGTCTCCGCAGGAGAGAGCATGAGTGGTGGCTCCCCCCGTTTATCGGCAATGTGAAGCATCCAGCAGCAAGCGCCATTTCTTCTGCACCAAGCTTTTAAGCCAGGATCTTGAGCTGATCCTTCAACCCTAAACCCCAAGACCTCGCCTTCTCGCAATTTTTGTTGACCCAATTCGTAGCACGCAAGCCAAACTCCCATAGATAAACATTGACATAAATGCCCTATCTACCCAGATCAGGGGTTTCCTTGCCTCACTAGATTTGGGTTTGTTTACGATTTTCTCACTGAACTGAGATGCATAAAGAAATGCACATAACATGATCACAGGAAATCTACTAGAGGGATTTGCGTCATTTCTCAGGTTTCTATTGTTTTTTGGTAAGGCTTTCATAGAGAATTTTGTGCGAAATAATCTGAAGGAAAGTTATTGGAATCAGGGAACCTCCCTCATTTCCTGGGTGTTGATTGTTTTCTATGCGGTCTTCCTATGCCGAATAGGTCGCTTTCAAGACAAAATATTTCTGAGATGATATCCATGTAGGAAAGAAGGTTCATCGTCATGGAGCTTCCTTTCTGATGTACTTAACCATCAGGAATTGAGGAGCCGATTTTACTTAAAGAGGCCTCACATATCTATAAAGTACGTTTCTGAAAGCCAACCCGTACATACATTTTCGTGCTAACAAAAAGTTGACATGGGCAGGGGGGAGGGCGGGGGAAATACATAAATGCATATACAGATACATACATATGCAACATACATATACGAATGTATACGTACTTATTAATGCAAGGAGAAGTGTCCCAGCCAGATCAATCTTAATTACTTGCCATGGGAGCAAATGCGCACGCAGCCCTGAAAGCCTGAGCCTTCGTCCTCTGTTTCAGGGCACTCCACCAGAAACCGGGTGCAGGGTTAAGGATTTTATGTAGCAAAGCACTCAAGCTGGAGGCCGTCTTTGGCGTTAAAGTGATCATTCGGACGACATGCGAGTTTCGCAATATAGCTGCAACGGTACATATATATCCGTACGTGGGTATTCCGCCTTAGAGCGCATTGCGCAGACATCTCCCAATTTCCGTAACATTGAAATAGTCTCTCACAAAAGATTTGGTCCCGAATGTGCCGAAACTCCCACGTACACACATGCACCATGTACCTAGTCAGACCCTGAGTCTTAAAGTGCTGACTTTAAGCACTACGCCCCGAGCCATGAACCTGGCGACCTAAGCCTCAAACCTTAAATGCACATGTTGAAATTTGAAGCAGATTTTAAAGGGGACGGTGTTCCGCATCTGCAGGCTTCTACAGTAGGCAAGGTTGAAATGGAGACCGGTCAAGGCTGCGATCCCTCGTCGGCAAAGTCGACTGAACCCACCTTGGAAAAGCCAGCTGTCCAGAGCTTGGGTTTAGAAGCTTCAGCACCCAGGTAGTATGGATTTGGGTTTAGGGTTTGAGGGCTTCTGATTTAGGGTCACAGGTGTAGGTTAGACTTGTTTGGAGATGTCGCCTTCATCGCTATTGTCGACAAGCAACTTTGCAAAGACAAGCCGTATAGATAGTATCAGAGATTGTCCAAATGTGCAGAATGTATATTTCGTAAGTCTGCGTAAGGAGTAAACGCGTCGCCACTCATATGTGAGGGGTCCTTGGAGAAGAGCCATGGTACGCTCTGGAAACTCAAACAACAAGACCGCGTTTAACGCTTGTAAGCAGTTTCTCTGGGTTTAAAACAGAATGTTCAAGTTGGGACTGCTGTAGTAAACAGACCGGCTTGAGATTTGGAATTCTGCGGACCGTGTTCAGCCCAAAATCTGCTATGTGAAAAAGGTGACAAGTATGGGAGTTTCCCGTGTCTGTTGATTTCCTTACGCCAAGCCAGGCCAAGCCACCTTCATCCATTTTGCATCCAGAACGCCTGTTAGAATGCATGGAAGCTATTTCCCGAGCATATGGCTTGAAGCTGCTGTCTTGGATTGAAATTCCAGCTTGTGTGTAGAAGCGAGGAAGTTGCGTAAGCTTCGGGGTCAACTTGTCCAATGTATTTTGAGATCATGGTTGTGGACATCTGACGCTTTGGGATGGAGAACAGCGTATTCAGGTTAGCTTCCACGGCAGGGCGCGCGTAGAATGAGAGCCTTTGCTGACTGGTAGACGCAAGCGTGGCAAGTAATCTGACACAGGCAATGCTTACAGTTGTGAAAGCACCCGTGTCATCCCAATGTGAGTAGAGCATCAGATAGCCCAAGCAGATTGTTTAGGGC